TGTGTACACAAGGACAGATATGAACTGACTAGATGGTATGCATAATTTTGTTATGCCTGGGTAATTAATTTAAAAGCTCAGGAAAAGTATCAATAAAAACCTTAATTAAAACTTATAAATATATTTAACATTTCAAATAAAATAGTTCTATTTCATAAAACTAGTACAGGCTAAATTTTTTTTTTTTTTTTTTTTTGCCACTCTGCAGAACTTGTGGGATCTTAGTTTCCCGACCAGGGATTGAACCCAGGCCCTTGGCAGTAAGAACACCCAGTCCTAACCACTGGACTGCCAGGGAATTCCCCAGTATAGGCTAAATTTAGATACCAATGAAAGAATAGGCAAAACAACTACATTGAAAAAAATCAGAAAGTGAATGACTCTCATAGACTCACGGAATCAGGCAAGTGGGCATTTTTCGGCATCACAGAATTGTTCTATACTTAGATTGGGAAGTTTTTTTATGTATAAATGCATTTATCAGTCATCAAATTGTACAGTTGATGTTCGTGTATTCCCCTGAAATAAACTTCACATTGAAAAAGTTTAAAACATTTCCTGAACTTTAGTTAATGGCTTGGATCTTGCCATGGTATGGGTAGTGTTTGTGAACCTAAATGCAGTGTAGTCAAAGAAGGTCCGGAAGCAACGGTTCACCTATGTCCTTGAGCACATCCAAGACCCCGTTCTTGATTTCTCAATACTTTTCTCTACCAAAAAGAAAATCTCCTTAGAGAAAAGACTGATTCCTGGCAGAGAAAGGAAATTTGCAGGATGAAACTGTAATATCTTTTATATCAGAGCTAAGTGCACAAAATGTGATGGTGACATGAAAATGGGACAAGCCAGCATAAAGGAACTCCCATGGACTCAAATATGGGAAATTCTGAGATTCACAACAAATGACTGGGCTTCCCTGGTGGTGCAGGGGTTAAGAATCCGCCTGCCAGTGCAGGGGACACAGGTTTGAGCCCTGGTCTGGGAAGATCCCACACACCACGGAGCAGCTAAGCCTGTGTGCCACAACTACTGAGCCTGCACTCTAGAGCCCACGAGCCACAACTACTGAGCCCATGTGCCACAATTAGAGAAAACCCACATGCAGCAATGAAGACCCAACGCAGCCAAAAAAAAAAAGACTCTGAAGGGACTTTCCTGGTGGTCCAGTGGCTAAGAATCTGCCTTCCAATACAGGGGATGCAGGTTTGATCCCTGGTGGGGGAACTAAGAGCCCACATGCAGCAGGACAACTAAGTCCACACGCCACAACTAGAGAAGCCCATGCGCCACAATGAACCCTCAGTGCAGCCAAAAAAAAAAAAAAAAAGGGCTCTGAAGAAGGTCCCGAGTGAGAAAAATGATCATTTTATATTTTTCTGTATGGCACTTTTTTTTTTTTAATTTCTTTTTGGCTGCATTGGGTCTTCGTTGCTGCGTGTGGGCTTTCTCTAGTTGTGGCGAGGAGGGGCTACTCTTTGTTGCCGTGTGCAGGATTCTCATTGCGGGTTTCTCTTGTTGTGGAGCACAGGCTCTAGGCACACGGGCTCAGTAGTTGTGGCCCGCGAGCTCAGTAGTTGTGGCTCTCAGGCTCTACAGTGCAGGCTCAGTAGCTGTGGTGCATGGGCTTAGTCACTCTGCAGCGTGTGGGATCCTCCTGGACCAGGGCTTAAACCCGTGCCCCCTGTATTGGCAGACAGATTCTTAACCACTGAACCACCAGGGAAGCCCCTGTACGGCACATTTTTTCACATTATTTCAGTTAATACTGATTATCTTGTGTAGCTTGAAAACTAGCCTCAAAGGAAAAAAAATCTCAGGACAAATTTCAAGTACTCATATCCAGTGCCAGCACAAGGGAGTAAGTCCATGGTGGCAACTGTGAAACCCATACAAACACGAGACCTGCATGTATACATCTAGACTCACCTGTTAAAATCCCTGGCACTTTACTCTGTAAAAACAAAAAAACAGCTTCACACAAACATTTATAAGATCGGACAAGGAGGATCCTTCTCTTTTACCATGAATTTAACTTGGATGTGTGTTTTATTTTACTGGTTTTACCTATAATTCAACCACCAGAAAGCTGCAGAGGGGGACTTGGAAATGTCCAGTCCTTTCCACAGGGTTAGAGAAGCTGAAACAGTGGAAAGAGGAAAGAACTAGCACTCACCTCAGAAGGCCACAACCATACAGGATGAGCACCTTGCTGTCAGAGACAATAAAGAAAACAAACCCTCCCGACAAACCACTTTCAATACATCAACCGGTGTGACCCTTCAAAGACATGGCAGATCAAGCCATTCCTCTGCTTCAAATCCTCCAATGTCTCCCCATTTCATTCAGAGTCAAAGCCAAGACCCTAATAGTGTTATGCAGCGTTTGACTGCAGTTGGGCCCCAATTTCCTTTCTGAATTAATCTCCTACTATTCCCTCTCTTCATCACTGATTCAGCTCCATCACCTCCTTGATGTGCCTCGAATATTCCAGGTTATGTCCCAGCCGTAAAGCCCTTGAACTGGACGTTCCCTCTACATGGAGAGAACTTTCTCCAAATACCCACATAGCTAGTACCTTCTTCTCGTCCCAAGTTTTTGCATAAACGTCAGCTTTGAGAAGAGGCCCCACTTTAACCATTCTATTTAAAATTATGACGTGTTCTTATCCCCTCACAGATTGGTGTGTATCATTGAACTTACACTGCTCCATTTTTTCCCTTCAGTAACACTTATAACCTTCTAGTATTTTATAGAATTTATTGTTTATTATGCTGCTTATGTAAACTCTGCAGGACAAGATTGTTTCTTTTTTCAACCTGTTTTGTTCAGTGATGCCTTTCAAGTTCCCAGAACAGTGATTCTGGCATCCAATAAATATTGAAGTGAATGAATGAATGATTAAAAAAAGAAAAAGAAAAAAACCCACACAGAATGGAATCAAGAGTGAGAATTGGGGGGAGGAGGGATAAATTGGGAGATTGGGATTGACATATACACACTACTATATATAAAACAGATAACCAACAACTGCCTACAGTATAGAACAGGGAACTATACTTAATATTTTGTAATAACATATAAGGGAAAATAATCTGAAAAAGAATGAGTATATGTATAACTGAATCACTTTGCTGTACACCTGAAACACAACATTATAAATCAACTATACTCCAATAAAATTTTTAAAAATAGATAAATAAAGCCTCTAAGTGACATGGATCAAGTTATCTTCCACCTTGCTAAATATCTTTTCAAAGAACCTATTGAGGGCTTCCCTGGTGACGCAGTGGTTAAGAATCCCCCTGCCAATGCAGGGGACACGGGTTTGAGCCCTAGTCCGGGAAGATCCCACATGCTGTGGAGCAACTAAGCCCGTGTGCCACAACTACTGAGCCCGCATGCCTAGAGTCCGTGCTCCACAACAAGAAAAGCCACTGCAATGAGGAGCCTGTGCACCACAACGAAGAGTAGCCCCTGCTCACCGCAACCAGAGAAAAGTCCGCACACAGCAATGAAGACCCAATGCGGCCAAAGATAAAATAAATAAAAAATTAAAAGAAAAGAAAAAAAGAACCTATTGAAGACTGAAAATGCAGCCAGTTAATAGACTCAAGTAATTACCTGTCTGCCATTAAACAAATACAATGTATTTTCACTGAGGTTTGTTGAATTTGAGTGAATTTCCCTAAATACCTTAAATGTTTCTATTCTGCAAACTGTGTGCATATACTAATAAACGTACTTCTTTTAAAACTAAAAAAAAAAAAAAAAGAAGAAAGAGTGAGAGATAGTATCAGGCATTTAAAACCAGATGAACAGGAGTTTACCTATAAAAAAAAAATTCAACATCTTTAGGGGTGCACATTTTAATGTGGCAATCCCTATGTGGACCATTCTCTCCTTAGATATAAAATGTAAGTATTGTGTGATGTTATTTTCGGTATTCTAATTTCTTACAAGTTCAAGTAGCTCATGACTCAAGCCCTCATATTTCTCACAAAGAATTATGCCAATGGCTAGAGATGTTCGGAACAAAGCCTTCCAACAAATGTCGGTGGAGCTGCCCTCAACATCCAACTTTCATGACACAAGACAGCAGTGAACACATTAAAAACAAAGGGCTGGGGTCATTTGCTCCCTCAAACATTGCCCCACCAAAAAACAGAACTGATGAAAAACTGCAACAGGCTTGGCAGGAAAGTCTGAAAGAGCTTACGAAAGCATTTGTTTTTTTTCCGTTTATAGTCTTTGTCTCTATCTCCTCCACCTCTTTGTTATTTTTCTTTTTTCTTTATTGGCCACACCATGGGGCTTGCAGGATCTTAATTCCCCCCGACCAGGGATCAAAGCCAGGTCCTCCAACAGTGAAAGCACGGAGTCCTAACCACTGGGACTCTGCAGGGAATTCCCTTGTTAGTTTTCTTTTGAACATAATGCTGAGATGGCTTAAGTGCAAACCAAGGGGGAGGCCTGTGGCTGAATGTTGTTATAAGCGCAAAACGAACCCTGAGTCTGTCTCCTCTGTGCTTCCTCACAGGGAAAGCCCAAGCTCCGTCAAGTTCCAATATGACTCTACGTGACTAGTGGTGACCTGTCACAGGAGGCTTTCTCACGGCAATAATTAAGTGGTTCCCCTTCATTACACATTCTCAGGTGGCGAGGACGAGTTTCTTTTGGCTGAGGAGTGTCCTTCTGGATACATTCAGAACGTCTTTTCCTGGTATGTTCTCTGATGTTGACAGAGGTGGAGAGATCCACGGGTGGCATAGCTTCTTGTGCTGAGTTTCTCCACAGAATGAATCCTCTGAACGATGAGCAGGGGCCGAAGGCTTTTGACATTTCCACTGCATTCGCAAGGCATCTTCTCCCACGTGACCACTTGTGCATTTGAAAAGCAGACAAAAAACCTTCCCAGAATTCTTTGCACTCAAAGGGTTCTTCCCTCCAGCATGGATCCCCTCATGAAAGACAAGAGAGGAGCAGCGGTGAAGGCCTTTTTCTCAAGTATGAACCCGCTGGTGCTGCAGGAGATGTGACCTGCGTTTGAAGGCCTTCCCGCACTCGGTGCACTTGTATGGCGTCTCCCCGGTGTGGATGACAGAGTGCTGGATGAGGTACGTGCTCCGGTGAAAGGCCTTCCCACACTGGGCACACTCATAGGGCTTCTCCCCCGTGTGAATCCGCTGGTGCTGTAGGAGTTCTGAGCTGCACCTGAAGGCCTTCCCACACTCTGTGCAATCGTAGGGCTTCTCTCCAGTGTGGATGATGTAGTGCTGGATGAGGTGTGCTCTGTTGCTAAATGATTTCTCACATTCTTTGCATTCAAAGGGTTTTTCTCCAGTGTGGGTTCTACTGTGGCGAATAAAAGTAGAGCGGTGGGTGAAGGCCTTTCGACACTGGCCACACTCATAGGGCTTCTCCCCGGTGTGGATCGGCTGGTGCTGCAGGAGGTACGACCTGCGTTTGAAGGCCTTCCCACACTCGGCACACTTGTATGGCGTCTCCCCGGTGTGGATGACGTAGTGCCGGGTCAGGGTTGAGCTCTGGCTGAAGGCTTTCCCACACGCGTTGCATTCATAGGGCTTCATTCCAGTGTGAATCCGCTGATGTCGAACAAGGTACCACTTCCTGTTAAAACTCTTCCCGCACTGCTTGCACTTGTAGAGGTTATGAATCAGGAGGCCTTTTCCTGGTCCCTGTGGGTCACGCTCACAGAGGACATCTCCCTGAGAGACTCTCTCCTGGAACGCCCTGGAGTGCACACCATCATCCGCCTCCAAACCATCATCTTCAAAGCTCGTTTTCCCAGGATGGGTTTCCTTGTGGGCGTCTGTCTCTGGCCTCAGCTGACCTTTCTGCACTTCCAAAAGCCCTTCCGGATCCCTGGCTTGCCTCAACCTGCAGTCCCTTGAAGATCCCAGAGTCAGGCTTCCCTGGAGCAAGACTCCTTCAGACAAAACCAGCTCTCTGGTCTGATGTTTTGCTCTGTCACCTGAAAAGAATCCAATACAAAAAGGGGGACTTTCGGTGATGCAACACAGAAGAAAGAGAAGCAACACTTCAGTGAACAAATGAGGATGAAATCAGCACCTCTGATATCTGCTATGTTTTAACGTCAGTACATCCTAGATTTCCAGTTACTTTCTATGACCCTTGTACCCTGACACCATTAAAGGGAAAATCTGGCAGGAGGCCGGACCGGGAGACAGAGGATCTGGAGTAGGGGAGGGAGGACAGTTTCAATAATACTGTCTGGAGAGCATCTGCCTCAAGGATTGATGTCTTGGTTCTGTGAGAGTGTAGGGAAGTGGCACCTAGCAAGACTGGGAAGAAAAGGTCATCTTCCCTGGGGGGTGTCCCATGAGCTGGGTCCTGATGCAGACATCAGAGTTGCCAGAAAGAAAGAAGGATGGCGTACTGGGTTGAAACGGAAGGAATAAGCTTGGGTAGATTCACCTTTGGAGAGTGCTTAAGAGTTATAAGAAGAAAAGGTACTATCACTCAGCCATAAAAAAGAAGGAAATCATGCCATTTTCAGCAACCTGGATGGACCTGGAGATTATCATACTAAGTGAAGTGAGTCAGAGAAAGACAAATATCATAGGATATCACTTATATGTGGAATCTTAAAAAAATGATACAAATGAACTTATTTACAAAACAGAAACAGACTCACAGACATAGAAAACAAACTCATGGTTACTAAAGGGGAAAGGCTGGGGGGAGGGAAAGGTAAATTAGGAGTTTGGGTTTAGCAGATACACACTACTATATATAAAGTAAACAACAAGAACCTACTGTATAGCACAGGGAACTATACTCAATACCTTGTAATAACCTATAAGGGAAAAGGATCTGAAAATGAATGGATATATGTATATGTATAACTGAATCACTTTACCTTACACCTGAAACACAACATTGTACATCAACTATATTTCAATTAAAAAAGAAAAAAGTGCCTAGAAAATTGTCTGGGATGTAATAAGTGCTATATAAGTGGCCAATAAATAAAACACTGAAAATACTGTTTAAATTAAAAAAAAAAGAAAAGAGGTAATTTACTGGTGGTCCAGTGGTTAGGACACCATGCTTCCACTGCAGGGGTCCTGGGTTTGATCCCTGGTCAGGGAACTAAGATCCCACAAGCCAAACAGCGCAGCTAAAAAAGAGAGTTACAAGAAGAAAATGGCACGAGAAGCATGGTGAAGGCAAGCCTGAAGGGGCGGCTACAGGAAGAAGAGAATAAAAATCTCAGAAGAAAAGTGGTAGTGGGACACACAAACTCAAACTGTATGAAAGACGAGTTTCTGCTCTGTTGAGAGACATTAGAGTGGTGTTAGCAGGGAGAGCTCTGGAGCCACAATGCCTCAGTTTGAGGCGCGGCTTGTGGGATCTTAGTTCCCTGACGAGGGGTCAAACCTGTGCCCCCTGAAGGGGAGGGGCACATCCCTAACCACTAGACCGTCAGGGAAGTCCCTCCTTTCTTCTTCTTTTTTTTTCTTTAAATTTATGTATTTTATTTATTTATTTTTGCTTGTGTTGGGTCTTCGTTGCTGCACGTGGTCTTTCTCTAGTTGTGGCAAGCGGGGGCTATTCTTCGTTGTGTTGCACGAGCTTCTCATTGTGGTGGCTTCTCTTGTTGCGGAGCATGGGCTCTAGGCGTGCAGGCTTCAGTAGTTGTGGAATGCAGGCTCTAGAGTGCAGGCTCAGTAGTTGCTCTGCAGCATGTGGGATCTTCCCGGACCAGGGTTCAAACCTGTGTCCCCTGCATTGGCAGACAGATTCTTAACCATTGAGCCACCAGGGAAACCCCCTCCTTTCTTCTTTATGTCATAATTTCCTCACCTAAGAGACTAGAGGACTCTCAGTTTCTCCAGGTGTCATGAGGGTTAAATGAGAAAATGCCTGTAAAGCTCTCAGCAGTTCTTGACGTAGTGTGAGTATGTATGGTGGTTAATTTTATACGTCAACTTGGCTTGGCTACTGTGCTGAGCTGTTTGGTCAAACACCATTCTGGAGGTTGCTGTGAGGTACATTTTAGATATGACTGACACTGGAATCATCAAACTTTGAGAAAGGCAGTTTACCCTTCTTACTGTGGGTGGGCCTCATCCGATCAATCAATGTCCTTGGGACTTCCCTGGCGGTGCAGGGGTTAAGAATCCACCTGCCAATGAACGGAATACAGGTTCAAGCCCTGGTCTGGGAGGATCCCACATGCTGCGGTTCAACTAAGCCTGTGCACCACAACTACTGAGCCTGGGTTCTAGAGCCCACAAGCCACAACTACTGAGCCCACGTGCTGCAACTACTGAAGCCCACACACCTAGAACCCATGCTCCACAAGAGAAGCCATCACAATGAGAAGCCCATGCACTGCAATGAAGAGTAGCCCCCGCTCACCACAACTAGAGAAAGCCCACACGGAGCAATGAAGACCCAATGCAGCCAGAAAAATAAATAAATAAATAAACGTAAAAAAAAAAATCAATGTCCTCAAGGGAAAAGACTGAGATGCCCTGGGAGGGAAGGGATTCTGCCTCCAGACTCAGGACTGCAAGCATCTACTCTTCCAGCTTACTGGACTGCCCTAAAGATTTTGAAATCACTTAACCCTCACAATCACACGAAGCCTAATCAATAGAATAAAACTCTGATTTATCTCCTTTTGGCTCTGATTCTCTGAAGAAGTCTAATGTTATTATTCTCATTGTTTTACTGGGCAATTAGGATGACAGCAATGCCATTAGCAAGAACAAGCCATCTTATTCTACAGGCCAAAGAGAGTGGCCTCAGTAGAAACCAACCCTGCGGACACCCAGCATCTAGAACTAAGACAATAAATTTCTGTTGTTTGAGGCACGCCCCCTCACCCAAAAGGAAAAGAACAATAAAACCTATCCACGCTGATAGAGTGTAAACAGTGGGTAACACTGTAGGACAAGCTATTGACAAGGATGGAGCACCAGGAACCTGCCACAGAACTGGAAATAGTCTAAATTTTGGGTGAGGTGGAGGATACCTCAGTTTATGCATATGTGAAAAGTAAAGCTGATTTCCCACTCCTGGGCATATATCCAGACAAAACTAATTCAAAAAGCTCCATGCACCCCTATGTTCACAGCACTATTTACAGTAGCCAAGACATGGAAACACCCTAAATGTCCATTGACAGAGGAATGGATAAAGAAGACGTGGTACATACATACAATGGAATATTACTCAGCCAAGAAAAAGAATGAAATAATGCCATTTGCAGCAACATGGATGGATCTAGAGATTGTCATACTAAGCAAAGTAACTCAGAGAAAGACAAATAGCATATGATATCACTTATATGTGGAATCTAAAAAAAATGACACAATGACACAAATGAACTTACCTACAAAACAGAAACAGACTCACAGGTATAGAGAGCAGACTTGTGGTTGCCAAGGGGGTTGGTGGAGAGAGATGGATTGGGAGTTTGGGATTAGCAGATGCAAACAATTACATATAGGATGGATAAACAACAAGGTCCCATTTTATAGCACAGGGAACTATATTCAATATCCTGTGATAAACCATAATGGAAGAGAATGTATACATATGTATAACTGAATCACTTTGCTGTACAGCAGAAATTAACACAATATTCTAAATCAACTATACTGCAATAAAATTTTTTTAAAAATTGAAAAAAGAAAAAGTGAAGCTGAACCTGAAGGATTGATATGTATCACTGTATACTTCCGATATAAAAAAATTAAGTAGATTTTAAAAACAAAAGGTATGGAAGTCAAATATATAGAGTCAATCCTTGAATAACAAGGGTCTAAAACCCATAGGTCCACTTATACACAATTTCAGCCCTTTGTATCTGTGAGTTCTGCATCCGTGAAATCAACCAACCATGGATCAAAATACTACATAATCTGCAGTTGAATGAATCTGAAGATATGGAACCGTGCATATGGAGGGGGACGGCCCACCATAAGGGACCTTAGGATCCATGGATGTTGGTATCTGTAGGAGCACTGGAACCCATCCCCCACATACACCACAGGACAACTGTCCATCATTTCCAAAATGAGACAACGCTTTCAAGAGTTGTGGGCTTCCCTGGTGGCGCAGTGGTTAAGAATCTGCCTGCCAATGCAGGGGACACGGGTTCGAACCCTGGTCCGGGAAGATCCCACATGCCGCGGAGCAACTAAGCCCATGTACCACAACTACTGAGCCTGTGCTCTAGAGCCCGTGAGCCGCAAGTACTGAGCCTGCGTGCCCCAACTACTGAATCTCATGAGCCTAGAACCTCTGCTCCATGAGAGAAGCCACCGCAATGGGAAGCCCGTGCACTGCAACGAAGAGTAGCCCCCACTTGCCACAACTAGAAAAAGCTCACGTGCAGCAATGAAGACCCAACAGATCCAAAAATAAATAAATTTATTTAAAAAAAAAAAGATGATGAGAGGGACTTCCCTGGTGATGCAGTTGTTAAGAATCCGCCTGCCAACGCAGGGGACATGGGTTCGATCTCTGGTCACAGAAGGTCCCACATGCCACAGAGCAAGTAAGCCCGTGTGTCACAACTATTGAGCCTGCGCTCTAGAGCCCAAGAGCCCACGTGCTGCAACTACTGAAGATCGTGCACCTAGAGCCCGTGCTCTGCCACCGCAAATGAGAAGCCCACACACCGCAAAAAAGAGTAGCCCCTGCTCGCTGCAACTAGAGAAAGCTTGCACGCAACAACGAAGACCCAATGCAGCCAAAAATAAATAAAATAAAATAAATAAATTTATATAAAAAAAAAAGATGACGAGAGCTTGAACTAGGGTGCTGGTGATGGACTCAGGACACATGGATAATCTCAAACGGGCAGGCCTGGGGATGGACGGATGTTGGTTTGATGGAGAGAGAAGCTGGCTGAGGTGTTGCTAATCTTCTAATCAGCTTAGATGGCAGGACGTTCTCAGAACCGGGCACGGGGTAGGAGTGGGCAGGATCCCGGGGGTCTTCTAAGGCATGACAAGCTTGAGGCGTCTCTGAGACACGAAAGTGGAGATCTGGGAATAAGGAAATGGGGGGCGGGGTGGCGTGTGGAACAGAGCATCGGTGGTGGGGCTGGCCAAAGACACTTACAGGCGGGCTGAGAAGCCTGAAGGACTGACAGAGAGGAGAGACGGTGACTCACTGTGGATTATTCAAGCTACAGTCAGCAGCACAGATGTGGGGCTGAAAACCCCAAACATCCATTTGGTGTTCTTAAGGGCAAGAGGGGCAGGAAGGTACAGTGCAAGGGGCTGCTTCTGAGTGTCTTGTGGACAAACAGGAGGATGGATAAATGGATGGAGAAGGTGGGAAAGAGGTCCATAGA